TCAAGGTTTTCCTCGTCTGCTAACAAACCAGACGTTTACCCGGTTCCAGGTCTTTGAGCCTCCTCTTCACGTGACAAAGAGGAGGACGGAGGTCTGGGTAGCTGACTCTGGATCATTCGGTCGGGCCTCGGTCTGGTGGAGAAAACTGAAATAATCTGTCATTTGTCCTGGAAAAGAGCCACGACGTCATCGCCTCCTGACCCGGTCCGACAGAAGCAGCCAACAGGAAGCTCTACTTCCTGCCAAGAGAAGAAGAAGAAGGATCCCAGAGCCGCCCTGAGACGATCAACTGGGCCTGAAGCTTTGTCTGGTCCTGAGCAGGCTCCCTGACAGCAGATGTGACCGTTTAACGTTTGAAGTGACAGAATGACGTGGTTCTGACCCGGTTCTGTGGCTGTGGAAAACCCAACCAGTACTTTGCAGCGTTTTTAGAAAACCAGCGCTGACACTGGAGTTGTTTTAATGGAAAGCAGCAGCTTTAAATAGAAACTGGACTTCAGTCCCACCCGTTGAACCCAGTCACTGCTGCCTTCAGGGACTGTAGGAAATCACACAGAAAACAAGCTCAGGAGCCTAAACTGTGTTTGTGTCTCCTCCTCCTCTCAATCTCGTGTCCAAATAAAATTATTAAAGCTCCTAATTTCCTTCTCCTGTTGGCTCTCAGTCACGTTACTGATTCTCCGGCGGCTAAACGTCGTCCAGTTCAACATTTATTCAACGCTGTGACACGGGCTACATCTGGATTTTAGAGCCAGGACGCCGCACGACGTGAGCCGGGCTTCAAGTCTGAAAAGTTTAATGTGAAGGAACCACAGGACTTCTGGAGTACTGAGAGCAAAGGACAGATGTTTACCCAGAATGCACTGCAGCAAACAGCTCCTCATGTCAGCACAGTGGTGGAGGACTGACGGTTCTGGTTCCTGTCAGTCTCTGAGTGGACCAGAACTCCTCCACAAGCATGAGAGAGGCTGAAGAAGTCCTACAGAAAACCACTGAGGGTTCTACTGGGTCAGGGCTGGGACCAGTTTTTCCCTCTAATCTTTACCAGTTTGGTTTAGCGTTTGTTAAATAAAATTTAGTTTATATGTTTTGGACTGAAGTTCATCCGTGTTTGAGTCAAAAACATTTTAACAACCGATAAAGAAAGTTACACAAAGTCTTAAAATATGTATTTTTTTATATTTAATGTTTAGGTTGAATCATTTCATAAAAAATAAATAAACCTGATGAAAATGAGTTCTGAAAAACATAAAATAACTTTTTACCGCTCGTTAAATCTTTATAACTATAAGAAAACTGATAAATATCGGGGTTTTTTTTTTGGTGCTTTTAACAAAAAATGAACATAAACTCATAGTTTCATCAGTTCAATCATTTAAAGTGTAAACAGACTCCAGCTCGGTAAGGTCCAGACTCTGGATATTCCGAGCTTTGTCCGTGTCCCTGAACGCAGCAACAGAAGCCGCGTAAAACCAGCTGATCAATAATCGATAACATCCGTTACTCACCGATTAACCCTCAGACTGACGGAACTCTGACCCACTGCAGCTGAACGGAACACGAACTCAGAACCGAACCGAACCACAGGAGGTCCGTTAGGTCTCACCGACACTAACGGGAAACCGGCGCTGGAGACCTTTACCCCGGCCTCACAGACCACATCTGCCTGGACCTTAACCGAACCTGACACCCGAACCGGACCGGGACCTTCAGCCCTGAACGACCAGTGCCAATAGTTTGAATATCTAGCGGTTCGTTTACGGAACTATTTTTCTCCGCGGACTTTTTGTGTTGGTTAAAGTTAGCATCAAGCTACAAGCAGCTTATTTAAATAAACACGCCGCAAACAGAACCACCCGAACCAAGACCGAACCCGAACCGCTTGTTCCCGGTAAATAATTTACTGGCAGCGTTAGGGAGGAGGACCAGGTCTTAACCCCGAAATGTTCCGGATTCTCTCGGAGGTAGATGTTCTGGATCCAAACTCTATTTAATACCCGGCGGATTTAAACTGATATTGTCTATAACACATTTTTTTAAATAAAATTATAATTAATATGGATTTAAAATAAGGAAACACTCTCAGTCTTTAATTCGGCATCATTAAAATCCACAGGGATCTCACAGATTGGCCCCGAGCTCCGGGTTTGGGTCGTTAAGAGGCCGGCTGCGGCCACCTACAGCGGGGGAGGATGTGGGGGAGGAAAGCATCAAAGCGGCGGTTAAAGAAGAAGCGGAACGAACTCGGGTCCGGTCCGTTTGTGCCGAATCAGAACACAAAGTGTGAGTAATCAGAAAACCATTACTCTGATCTGAAACTTCACGAACCGCTCCAAAAGGCAGGACGTAAAGTGGCCGCTGTTTTCGGGGAGTTCGTACCGAGTCTCTGCCTCGGACAGAGCGGAGCTGCCCGGGGCTCTGTGTGGCCCAGTCCGCTGAATGACCGCGGACGGTCCGTTAAACGCACCCGCTTCTGACCCGTCATACCTTGCTGCGGATCTGACCGGACGTCGAGACTTTCCGGATGAGTTTCTGTGGAGATCCGGGCTCCTGCTCCGGTTCGCTATCCGACGACTCGTCCAGGCACCGGGCCGCGATGGACTCCGGTCCCTCTACCTCCGCCATCCTGTCATCAGAGCCCCAAAAGGAGCCGAGGAGGCGGCGCCCCCCAGCGGCAGGCCGCGGGCAGCGCTTGGGAGGCGGCGCCCCCTGGCGGCA